TAGATGGAGAAGGCAAAAATGTCCCCCGTCCTGTGTCTGACAGAGCCCTTTTATAGTTTTGAAAAGAAAGATGTAAATTATTTTGAAAGAATTCACACTGGCTACAGATAAGGAGTTGCAGAAGAAGGATAAGTGGGGCTAGTTCTCAAACAGGTACATAGTATGTAAGGAAGAAGTGTTTGCTGCTTTCAGATTGTTTGTTGGCAACAGTATGAAAAGTTCACGTGTAAGCAGGATGTGGTGGAATCTGGAGGTTAGTTATCCATTTTAGATAAGAGCTGTAATATTTTTAAGAGCTCTTACCTAAACACAATGCTAAAATAGGACTGGACATTGATTTGAAGTTTCAACATATATTTGGGAAAGTGAGAAGACTTTCATTAGTTTCAGTCCTTCACTTTCTTAACCGATTAACTCCCTGTCTCTTCTTTTCACCCTCTGGCCTTATATAAAATAATTTAGGACATCTCAGAATTTTCTCTTGTCAAAGTTAGAAATCAGTATCAAAAGGAAAACTGGAAAATCCCCCAAACCGTGAAAATTAAACAAACACATACTTTTCAACAGCCAGTGAATCAAAGAAGAAATCACAAGGACCATAGAAAATACTCTGAGATGGCTATAAACACAATAAAAAAAAAAGAAATATCTGAAATCAAGAACCAAACTTCACAACTTAAGGAATTAGAAAAAGAAGAAATATACCCCAAAATCACAGAAGTGAGTAAATAATAAAGACTAAAGCAGATATAAAAATAGTGAAGAGAAAAATAATAGTTAATAAAACTAAAAGTAGGCTTTTCGCAAAGATCAACTAAATTGATGAAACTTTAGCAGGATAGACCAAGAAAAAAGAAGACTCAAATTACTAAAATAAAAAATGAAAGCGGGGTCATAATATCTATTCTATAGAAATATAAAATTTTATATGATTACTATGAACAATTTTATGTCAACAATTGGATAACCTAGATAAAATGGAAAATGGAAAATTTTCTAGAAACACAAAACTGACCAAGAGTAAATGATAAGGAAATAAGAAATATAAGTAGACCTATGGCTAGTAAGAAGACAGTAATCAAACATTTCCCAATAAAGAGAAGTCCTGGACCTGATAGATTTACTAGTGAAACCTACCAAACATTTAAAAAAAATACCAATCTTTCTCAAACTTTTCCAAAAAATTGAAGAGAGAAGGCTTCCAAACTCAATCTGTGAGACCAGCATTAACATGATACCAAAGCCAGACAAAGACAATACAAAAAAAAAGTTATGTATAGACTAACATCCTTTATGTACCTTGATGCAAAAATCCTCAACAAAATACGTCAAAACAG